AAAACTTGCGTGGCCTGCTGTATGGGCAAGTTAGTTATTTTTTCAGATTTGTGGGGACCTCCACACGTGCCATCTAACGGTTTTCGATACTACGTGTCGTTTGTAGATGCGTATACCAGGTTCACATGGGTCTATTTCCTAAAGGAAAAGGCTCAAGCCTTATCTGCTTTTCAGCTGTTTCATAAGCTTGTATTAACTCAGTTTGGTGTAGCGGTTAAGGCAGTTCAAACCGACTGGGGTGGAGAATATCGCCCTTTCTCTGTGCTACTAGCTCAAGCGGGTATTGTGCATCGTCTGTCCTGCCCCCATACATCGGAGCAGAACGGTGTTGTAGAACGCAAACACCGTCACATAGTCGAGCTTGGCCTGGTTTTGCTCACTCAGGCGTCCTTACCTGTTCAGTACTGGTCCTATGCGATGACAACAGCTGTTCACCTCATCAATCGGTTACCAACTAAGGTGCTTGAAGGGCAATCACCGTTTGAGAAATTGTACAGCAAGAAACCCGTTTATGATAATCTGAAGGTCTTCGGGTGCCAGTGCTTTCCCCATCTAAGACCTTTCCAAACTCATAAGCTGTCCGTCCGCTCACAACCTTGCACGTACTTAGGGTTCAGCCCCCGACATAAGGGGTACCAGTGCCTTGCGGATGATGGAAGGGTTTATATTTCTCGTCATGTGGTGTTTAACGAAATGGTGTTTCCGTTTGCAGGTAAAGAGGCGATCAATACGCAACATAGTACCAGTGGCTTTCGATCACAAAGTATTCCAATTATTGCTGATACACAAAGGTGGCACAATATGCCTTATACTACCGGTGTTGAAGATGGTTTGGCTGAAGATGCTCTTCCAGGTCAAGCACAACAAACTCAGACTGTGATTGAAACTGCAAACCGCTAGAGTTCGCTAATGAGGTTCCTCCTGTCATAGACGCAACCTCTCACTCCAATGCTAATACAAGTCCGGATGTAGGTGACATGGACGAGCCTGTTAATGCTGACACGAACACATGCGATAATGCTTCAACTGAACCTGGTGCCATAAGCTCAATGAAACAAAGTTATCATCCAATGCTGACTCGCAGCAAGTGTGGGGTGTTCAAACCCAAATCATACACTGCCTATTTCGAGCATAATATACCCACGTCTATACATGAGGCGTTGCAGTCCGACAACTGGAGTGAGGCAGTCCGAGCCGAGATAGACGCACTTCGCAGGAATAACACGTGGTCGATAGTAAAACTACCAGCAGGACGTACTCCTATAGGCTGCAAATGGTTATTCAAACTCAAACGGAATCCAGATGGTACCATTCATCGGTATAAAGCCAGATTGGTTGCGAAAGGCTATTCTCAGGTACCAGGACACGACTTCACTGCCACCTTCAGCCCCGTGGTCAAGTTCTCCACCTTCTACGTTATGTTAACTCTGGCTGTGACAAACGGATGGGAGCTCAGGCATGTGGACATCAACAATGCGTTCCTTAACGGGGACCTAGGTGAAGATGTTTTTATGGAGCAACCTCCTGGCTTTGAGATGATGGCAGCAGATGGAACTCAACTCGTCTGTAAGTTACAAAAGGCCCTCTACGGCCTTCGACAAGCGCCTCGAAATTGGCACACCAAACTTAAAGACAGTCTGGAGGAAATGGGATTTAACTCATCTCGTGCAGACCCTTCTTTGTTTGTCAATAGGAAGCATGAGAGTGATACCTATGTGCTGGTTTATGTTGATGACATTGTCATCACTGGGCAGTCTACTAGTAGAATACAAGAGGTGGTGCAGGCGCTTAGACAACGCTTCTCGCTCAAGGACTTAGGTCTGCTCAGTTACTTCTTAGGCATTGAGGTGCATCGGTCACGAGATTCTATTGTTCTGAGCCAAAAGAAATTCATCCTCGAGCTACTGGAAAAGTCTGGCATGACAGGAGCAGCCAATTGTGGAACACCGATGGTCCTGTCTTCCAAACTTTCAGCAAATGAAGGAGAATTGATTTCTAATGCCACTGAATATCGGAGTACAGTTGGCTCTTATTGTATGTGTGTCACACTCGCCCAGACCTAGCGTATAGTGTCGGCAAGGTCGCCCAGTTCATGCATGCCCCGAGAGAAGCACATATGGTTGCTGTCAAAAGGATATTGAGATATCTGGCTGGGTCGGTTCATTATGGGCTGATGTTCCAACCAGGAGATGATAGTCTGTCTATTGCAGCGTTTGCTGATGCAGACTGGGGAGCAAATGTCGATGATCGACGGTCGATCTCAGGATATGGCGTCTTTACTGGTAAATGTCTTGTGTCCTGGAGCTCGAAGAAGCAAAAAAACGGTATCGAGGTCGACGATGGAAGCCGAGTATAGGTGTGTAGCAGACACTGCTGCTGAGGTAACTTGGGTTGATACCTTGCTTAAAGACCTCGGGTTGCAGCAACGTCAAGAACCGGTGATCTGGTGTGATAATACAGGGGCTATTGCGATGAGTGCAAATCCCGTCTATCACTCTCAGTCTAAGCACATTGATATGGATGTGCATTTTGTTCGAGAGAAGGTCGCGGCTGGACAATTATTTGTGAACTATGTACCAGCTGAGCATCAGGTTGCAGATGGCTTTACCAAGGCTTTGTCTAAATCTGCTTTTGAAGAGTTTCGAAAGAGTGTGTGTGTAGTGCCTACTGTTCAAGTTGATCAAGATAAGAAAAGTAGAGGGAATGTTAGGCTTTGAGAGGAGAAAAGGAAGAGCAGGGGGAATGTTAGAATACTGTAAAACTGCTGTAGGTACAGCACGTGTATGTAAGGGTGGTTAGGCTGTTAGGTTGTTAGTCAAGTTAGTTAGTTTGTTAAGCGGTTAATGACTAGCTAAACAACTGCTATAAAAACAATGTATCAGTTGATATGAATTAAGTGATTCTTTACTGAGCATATTTTTTCTGTTGTTCACACTTCCTAACATTCAATGACAATATTTGAAAACCATTGTAAAGGTGGTAAAGAGATTCAAAATTGAAAGAACTACGAAATTTGTGCCAAAATATATTAAAATGAAATTAATTCAAAATATTTTATTATTTTCAATGCATAAACAATGATAGTTAAGGTTTTATTAGATTATACAAAGGTTGAAATTTTACCGTTAGAATTTATATTATATTTCTTAATTATTATTTAAAAAAATTCCTTAAAATTGTATCTTAGTCATCATTTTACATATATTTAAAAATTATCATATTTTAAATAATATCTTAATAAATTATGTTTAAATAAAAAATTAAAATTTAGAAAAATCGTACATAGGGGTATAAACGAGCCGAATCGAGCTCGAGTATTGCTGAGCTCGACTCGACTCGAAAACTCTGAAATTGAGCTCGACTCGAAAACTCGCGAGCTTAAAATTTTCAAGCTCGACTCGAACTCGAAATCCTGAACTGAAGCTCGTGAGCAGCTTGAAAAGGCTCGAAATGAAGAAAAAAATTTCTTAAACTTAACTTGATTGAAGCCTCAAACTCGAACTCGAACCTTAAATACATGAAAATCTTAATGTATTCTCTTTAAAAAATCAATACATAAATATTAATATTTTTAATAATTTTTTTTTTAAAAAATATAATCTTATATATTATATTTTCGAGCTGCTCACGAGTTTTTCGAGTCGAGTATCAAGTAACTCGTTTCGACTTGTTAAGAATTCGAGTCGAGCTCGAGCTCGAGTCAAGTCCATTCGATCGAGTATTTATCGAGCCTTGATCGAGTCGATCTCGAGTAGTTCACGATCTGTCTCGTCTCATTTACAGCCCTAATCGTACACAACTTATTTTAACTACCATTTAAAAATCATTATCTACGAATTATTCAAATAACTAAACAAATTTTAAATTTCGTAAAATTATCCCAAAAGATCTTTCGCTACATAATAATCATTAAAAATAGATATTTAAACTTAATTGTTAAAACACAAAAATAATGTAATTATACTTAAACTATGAACTGATATTTATTTAAAATGTTATACATAAAATTATATAGGTAGTGAAATGATAAATTTAATTGAAAATTTCAAAATAAAGGAGTGATAATCAAATTGATATCTTAAACCTAACTTAAATTTTAAAAAAAATAAAAAGAAGTACGAAATTTGTGCCAAAATATATTAAAATGGAATTAATTCAAAATATTTTATTATTTTCAATGCATAAACAATGATAGTTAAGGTTTTATTAAATTATACAAAGGTTGAAATTATACCGTAAGAATTTATATTATCTTTCTTAATTATTATTTAAAAAATCTTCTTAAAATTATATCTTAGTAATTTTTTTAAATATATTTAAAAATTATCATATTTTAAATAATATCTTAATAAATTATATTTAAATAAAAATTTAAAATTTAGTAAAATCGCACACAACTTATTTTAACTATCATTTAAAAAACATTATCTAAAAATTATTCAAATAACTAAACAAATTTGAAACTTCGTAAAATTATCCTATAAGATATTTCGCTACATAATTATCATTAAAAATAGATATTTAAACTTAATTGTTAAAACAAAAAAATAAATATAATTATACTTAAACTAGGAACTGATATTTATTTAAAAATGTTATACATAAAATTATATAGGTAGTGAAATGATAAATTTAATTGAAAATTTCAAAAAATGAGTAAAAATCAAATTGTTATCTTAAACCTAACTTATAACAGTCAATTTAAAAAATATAAAAAATAACATTTTAGATAGAGTATACATCTTGTACTTTCGGTATATAAATGTGAAGTTACGTATACAAAATTAAATTAAAATAGCATAGAAGGGATTGTGAGAAGTGAAAAGAAAAAGATGGAGGGAGGTTTAATTATTAAGTTGTTAGCTTTGATGTTGTTTACATCCATATTACATCTAGGGGATGCACAATCAAATTGCGATGCTGGTGCCGTTGGTGCTTATTGTTATAATTATTGTTCATCACCTTGTCACTCTTCTTACCAAATAATCAAACAAAATTCAATGTGTATTACGTATTGTTTTTGTGTTTGTCCGTCATCGCCTCCGCCATCCGACATTAACCCATGGCAGTCGCCACCGCCATCGCCGTTGTCACTATCATCACCATCGTCACCGTTGTCGTCACCACCGTTATCGCCTTCGCCACCAGTGTCGTCACCGCTGCCACCACCGCCGTCGCCGTTGTCACCATTGTCACCATCATCACCGTTGTCGTCATCACCACCATCGTCACCGCCGTTATCGCCTTTTCCACTAGTGTCGTCGCCACCGCCACCAGTGATTAAACCAAACCCACAGCCTCAAAATCCGTCAACAATGGTTAAACCAAATCCGTCCATAGCACCATCACCATCGGTGACTAAACCAAACCCACAACCGCAAAATCCACCAACAATGGTTAAACCAAATCCATCCATTGAAGCACCACCACCAACAATTGTGGTTAGTCCAATTCCGTCGACTCCTTTGAGCATTTGCGAAGTACCGAAATATTACCCCTATATTGTGAGAAGAGATAAGCGGTGTTGGTGTTCGATGGAGAGTTATCACAGCGGGTGTTTTGAACAGATTTGGAGTGCAACACCAAAATATAATGATTCCATACAGATTGATAAATATTGTTGTGATGCTTTTCGGGCGGTGGATGAAATTTGTAGTATAATCTTTGCACCAAATAGATATTTTATTCACCGACACTGCTCGCGATTTTATTAGGATTAGAAGTAATTATTATTAGGATTTCGAGGTTGTTTTATGTATCAGATCCTTTGTCTTTTTAGGTATCATTTGTTTTTTTTAGTTAATTTTAATAAAATTTCAGTTCTAAAGATATGAAATACTTGATGTGCCGTTGTTTTTTTTTTTTTAGGTATTCAACTTTGCTTCAATCGTTGCTCATGCATTCGTCGAACCATGATATAATAAATAAATTAAAACTAGAAAGAGTCTTTCCATGCTGCACCTCTAATGCAGGATACTTGAATATAAATAAGCTTCAAGATGAACAAGACAAATTCACCAACTCTTCTTTTACTTCATTTTGCATGATCATGGACGATTCCAGGAAAGTTGGAACTTTTGTTTTCTAGTTTTGAAATCTAAAGAAATCTGATTCCAAGAAACTCTTCTTTGAATATAAAGAAAGTTGGAACTGTTGTGACTGAAATGGACTTGTACGTGACAATGTAACCGCGCGTGTCGTTGAGCTTCGTCTCGGAAATCTCCACCATTCGAACGATGATACGGCCGCCCTAGGCAAGCCTTTCGAACAATCTCGATTTAATGGTGAGTTGGTTTCTTTGCTTGATTTGAAACATTTGCAGTACCTGGATCTGAGTGGCAACAATTTTGGAGGACAAATTCCAGGATTCCTAGGTTCTTTGCACAACCTCTCTAATTCTGGATTTGAGGGATCAATCCCGCCTCAATTTGGAAACCTTACAAGCCTGCAGTATCTTGATCTCCATGATATTTTATCTGTCTATCTCTATGCAGAGAGTCTTCAATGACTTACCAATCTTACAAAGCTGAAATTCCTTTCTTTGAGTGGCATAACTCTCAGCAAAGCCTCCGATTGGTTCGAAGTGACGAATGCTCTCCCTTCTTTAATTGTCATAAGTCTATCCAATTGATAATTTTTCATCTCTAGGAACCCTGGATCTTTCCTACAACACGTTTAGTAACTCTATTTTTAGCTGGATTTTTACCCTTACTTCCCAGGTTTCACTTGATCTTAGTTATAACAGTTTCCAGGGTTATCTCCCTGATGGTCTAAGAAACATGACCTCTCTTACATATCTCGGTTTTTCGAGGAACCGATTCAATTCATCGATACCCGACTGGTTGTACAGTTTGAACCGATTCAATTCATTTGCAGACTGGGTGAAATCAAATATGCACCCTGTACATTTAGAGAGAAAAGGCAAAATAGTTTATCAATGTCCTTTTCTCATGTTTTCTAATGTTATGCAGGTGTGTCTTCGTTGTCAATGATTGAAAAACATTATAATCATATATTATCTTATAATTATTAAATTATTTGAAAAAAGAAATTCCTCTAAAATTACATTGTACTTGTTTTATTGTTGTTATTTAGGGTCTGTAACTAGCATTATCAATAATGTTTTTTTCTTAGGTTCAAAGATAAGTTCTATTCCTAAAAATATAATATGCACAACGAATACACTACAAGAAAATGTATAATTGCTGATGGAATTTTTTAGGGAATTTATGATGAAATTTGATATTAATAACGGAATTTTTTAGAGAAGAGAGTGATTAGTAAAACGTTGGTTAAAACTAAAATTTCCGACAAAATAAATTAATCTGTCAGAAATGTACTGACGAAAATCCATCAGTAAATTTACTGACGAAACATTTAAAATCCGTCAAAAAATTATATACTTAAAATATTATATTTTAGGTTTCTGAAGGCATGAATCTTTTCAGTCGAGATATTAAAAAACATAAAAAATTGATTTTTTAACTTCCGATGGACTACGTCTCTTCCGTCTGAAAAATTAAATCTTTTTTTAAAAAAAGGAGGGAAAAATTCTCGGGAATCTATCCGAAATTTTTTCATTCCCTCCAAAAATACTATAAATCTATTTTTGTTTAATTAATTAATGTACCAAAAATTAATAATTAATATAATTCAAATAATTTCATTAATTTAAAAAAATGGATAATAATAATACTTCTAACAAGTGCAAATTTTATATAGATAATCACTTAATAAGAAAACAATAGTATATTGTAAAAAATTAAATTCACCATATTAGCTATGACTAAATATGAGTTTACTATAATATAAATATTTGATTGTACACTATACATAAAAAATAATACAACGTTCAATAATAAAAAGAGTAAATTATTAAATTTGCATATTAAAGAATTGTTATCATTTCAAAATTTCAAAGCAATAAATAAAATATAATGAAATATGTTTGTGATTAACTAAAAATAATATAATAAAAAAGTAAATATTAAAACAATACACTGAACAAAAATTAAATCTTACATTAATATTTGATAAATGATAATAAAAAAAAGATGAAATTAAGAGATGAACTTTTCATGAAACCAAAGAGGTAATAAAAAGAGAAGAAAGAAATGAGAGATAAATGAGTTTAGAAAGGTTTAAAAAAGAAAAAAAAAATAGGGTACAAAATAGGTATGTTTGAAATTTTATGTTTCAATGGAGAGAAATTGAAGGTAATGGGCGGGTAAGTAAAAAATATCTAAATTTTGTGACGGAACATGTGAATCCGTCACAAATTTTATGTTTCAATTGAGGGAAATTGGAGAAAATGAGCAGGTAAATAAAAAAACTTTAAATTTTGTGACGGAACATATGGACCTGCCACAAATTTGTGACATGTCCATATATTTCGTCACAAATTTGAGATGGGTTCATATATTCTGTCACAAAATTAAAATACTTATAAAATTATCATATAAAAATAAAAATAGAATAATAATCCTTTTGTTTCTTTTGTAATCTATTCGGGTAGTTATATTATGCATAATTTTAAAGAAAAGTAAAAATATAATTTTAATTTTAATTTTAATTTTTTTAAATAAACAAGGTAGCCGTCTCTAAGAATATCCCTCTAAATCCTAAGGGAGAAAAAGTGTACTAACCTTGTTGTTTTTTCATTGATAAGCAACTAAAAGTATTGAAACATAACAGTTCAACAAAACAAAAGATAATATTCAGAAACTTAAAGTAAAATCCAAAATCTAAAAGAAAATACCATTTGATATTCAAGACACATTTTCTCCATTGCATTGTTTTGGTTATAGAGTAATCAGATAATAAGCTTCTTCTTGATTGTTGGATGGCTGGACAAAAGGTGTCAAAGGTGTGCTAGCTCTCGATGGATATGTCGTTTGTGGGTGCAAAGGCCTCGATATTATAGCTGAGCCTGTGAAAATTGAATGCAAAGGAGGTTGCATGCCACCAAATCCTGGATAAAGTGTAGGATGATCCATCAGAGGGTAGAAAACTAAAAATAAATTTTTAGTTGAAAATGAATTCACAAGTAATAATTATAATTATATATAATATTTAATTGAAAGAATGTTTTAAGACCCGATTGTCCATTATAGTTTGTTTCGAGAAGTAACAAGTCTATCGCACAACATCTACATCGAATCAATCGATGGTTGATCATCTTCTGCCATATATGCATTTAATTTAAGACCACATATTGTTACCAAATGGATCATATGCATACTCCAGAATTGGAGTACTAGCTAAGCATGTGAAAGTTGGACACATAGGAGGTTGCATATTCCACAAAATAATAACATATTTACATAATAAAAAATTAATTTCAAGTACATCCTTTATGTCATTAACCCAAGTTTAAACTTTAACCTAACAAAGTTGTCATAAATTAACAATTAAGAGACCAAAGAAAAATAGGGGTAAAGCTCACCATAATACAACGAAGTTCAAAATGCAATATCAATGAGGAAAGATTTCACACCACCAACATGGACACATACTCTTAAAATTAATAAAAATATATCGACAAAACGAACGCATTATCGAGTATGTTATATATAAGTCATGAAAGTAAATAGTTAAACCATTTACGTAAATAGTAGTTTTCAATCTAGAATTACAATATAATTGTATTAGTATTTTTTTTCTCAGCAAAATGGATTTTATTAATAAAATGAGACCTAAGTTAGGGGTCTCATTAAAAATCTCTCTAACCTTAATCTATATGGAGGAAAAGAGTACCCCTAACTAGGAAAAGATCATTAACTTCTCAAAACAAAAATAAGTCAACGAACACGAATACTATACTAAACATTCAAACGAACACAAATCGAATATAAAGATCTTTAAACACAAACAAATATACATGAATACAACTTTATTCATTCAAGTTCAATTCATTTACACACCCTGATAACTTGGTAACTTCCCAAGATAAAATCCATATACAAATTGGTAAATATATAGGTTACAACTTCAAAAATAAATAAACAAATTCGGATATTATACTAAAATTTTAAATAACACAAACTGAATCTAAAAACAAACAAACGAACATGAATACAACTTTATTCATCTAAGCTCAATTCATTTACACACCCTAATAACTTGGTTAACTTCCGTGACAAACTTCGTATACACACTGTTAACACACAGGGACAACTTGTTAATCAAAATTATAAAGAAAACTGCAGTGGGCTCCTCCAACGGAAACTGCCGAAGCAAAGGTCTATTATACATCACTCTCATTTGTCAATGCAAAAGAATTCGACCATAAAATAATTTCACCTTTTAGCCTGATTTTGCATCCCTATATAAATATTTTACCATCTCTCTCTTGTGGATTTTTTGTAGTCTTTTATCTCCCACTTTTAGCAGCTTGTTGTGAAAGAGCATACAATGGTCTCGAAGGGTGTTTTAATAGGCTATCTTCTGTTGATGTTTCTGAGTATTTCGGCTCTCAACAATGGTGTCTCGGGAGCAAAGTTTCTAAGAGAGAAGCTTGAAGATGATCAAGCGGAGACTGCTCAGAGGAGATGGAAGTATGAGAACGTGGATAATGGGACAGTTAGGTTTTTTGCAACAGTTGACAGACAAGTGCCCTCTTGCCCTGATCCATTACACAACAAGTAGCACTGCAAGCAACTAATAAATCATACACCTTTGACAGAAAGATGTATATATATATTCAAAGTTCTTTCATGATTTTCTCAAGTAATGGATTCTATCTTTGTATTTCTTTCAATGGTTTCAAGTAGATAGAACAGAAGCCAAATCAAACAATTCTGTACATGATATACAGTAGCTCTGGAGTTTCCAACATCTGCAAAATAAGTAAAACTTGCGTTATTTCCACCTTTAATGTTCTTAAAATTATTGGTGTTTGATATTTGTGTTTAACTCATATTTACATGACGTTGTATATTTTATTAGACGTGTCTTTTAGGAGGAGAGTAATGGTCATGTATAAGTGATATCACAGTGATCATTCGTTGTTCGGTTTCACACCGGGCACCCTAGTAGATGGGTAGGCATAGCATGGTGGACATTCGTAACAAGGGCGTCATGAAACTAAATAAGAGGGAATGTCACGTCTTGGACGAGGATAAAAACTCTATTCTCCGAACATATAAAACAACTTGACAAAGCTTAATATTCTACACTCGGCTGAGTAGTATAAAAGTAAAGCAAAGTAGCAAAGCAGTGATGAAAATATGGTGGCGAATAAGATCAGCAACGCATCAGAATTTCATCATTCTTTTTACTGCTACCAAAGTTATCCCTTAATTATCATTAATATAAAATCTAATTGATGTGTTCAGCTCTTTGAAATTTCAAAGTTTTTGACTCATAATTTTGTTCCCAAGGGATAGTTCATTTTCTAACTAGATTAGATCCATAGGTTTGAATTCACCCCGACACTTAGGGCCCTCACCACCCCCATTTTATACGCATGCAAGGAAAAAACTTTTCAAAACTTGTATTGATTTAAGGATTTTGTTAAGTAAAATCCACAAATATAAAAGACTACCTACAAGAAAGGTAGTACATTAATGGGGACATTTATCAGATATCAATTAAAAAAAATTAAATTTTCGAGGGAAAAAATTTAAAGACTTTAAAATCCATTATAATTTACCGATCAAAATAAAATATTTCGTCACAAAATTTTGATTTTAGTTATAACTTTCGATGAAATTAATTTTTTCGTCAAAAATTCTATTTATTTTAATAAAATATTTAGTTATAATTTTGATTTTAGTTATAACTTTCGATGAAATTAATTTTTTCGTCAAAAATTCTATTTTTTAGTTATAACTTCCTTGAACAAACTGCAATCGATGCTTAAATTTGTATTCTGTTGCGGCTCAATGTATTTCAGAAGCAGTATAAGCAGGGAAATGACGCTAAAATATAAAACGAATTTTGAAGAGAATTCTTGCTTTTCTTCTAGGATGGGGAAAGGGAGATTCGTTCAAGACTGGGACATATTTCATGATTAATTCTTTTCTTCCAGGATTGTAATTCCTTAAGTGGCTTTTTTTTTTCTTTCGGCTGGATTTTGCTTGTACTACAAGTTTCAGTCCAAATTTTGAAGCTTTGAGGCTTTCACATATATGAATTACTGAAAGTTCAAGTACTCAGAGTAAATTTAAACTATACCAATAAGTTGGTAATACACATAATAGAAACGAGAAAAGAAATCATCCCTTCCACTTAAGCTAGGTACACCTTAATGTTATAGCTATGTTCGGTTGCATATTTAACCATAGTGTCGAGCTCCTCCTTGCTTATAAGCCCTTCGTTATTTGCATCAGTGTGATGAAGTCCTGCTCCAAGTGCTTTCCATGCTGGGAAACGTAAACCAAGGCTGCTGGAGGCTTGCTTGAGCACTTCCTTACTGAGGCAACCATCGTGATTGTGGTCATAGCGTTCTAACATCGTCTTCTGTTGGTCGAGGGGTGGATCGTTAGGTGACCAATCTTCTTTCTTTTTGCCCCTTTTCCTTCTGCACCTTTTATCCACATTGAGAGTACTCATAGGAGGAGATATGGAAGTATAGGACAGGGGAGACCCCAACCTCTCTAAAGATGAATATAATGTTTTGTTTTGTCTATCTGATATGATGTTTTAAGTAGGGCCAAGCTTATATGGAGAAGGGATATTTATTAATTTCTCCTAGTTATCCTCTTCCTTGCAAGATTATGGAGAATCAGAATTTAATTCAAATCTCCTAGAGTGCAAATTGCCACATAAAATATTATTTCCACTAGAAAATGGGAGAGAATAAGGTTCCTGGTAATCTTCCACAAGTATTCATTTTAGTTTTTGGTTAATCGTATTTGGGAACATTTTCTAATCTTGAATGATTAGATTCCAACCTCTCTATACAAGAATATAAGTTTTGCTTTGCCTTTCTGATCAGATGTTTTAAGCAGGGCCAAGCTTATATGGAGAAGGGATAATTTATTAATTATCTTCTTCCTTGCAAGTTCAAAAGCATATATTTTTCACTCTTGGAATCCAAATTTGATATTATTGATCAAGATTATGAAGAATCAGAACTTAATTAGGATTACTTCATCCTCTCTTTTCCCCTTTTTTTCTTCTTTACAAATTGTGTCAATTTTATTGATCAATTTAACTTTTTCTTCTTTAATTTTGTTTAACCGGAGACAATATCGGTTTTAATGTTGATTGCCGTCTGCCAGTTATCTTTTTTCTTTGTTTTTTTTTAAATTTTTTAATAAAAATAATTATGTCTTTTTGACATGTTCTCTGCATTTACGACACGTTTATCTATGATTTTTTGGCATATTTTTCTCCGCATTTTGGTAGCTTACGGTTTCTGTCGTTGTTTTTGTTTATCTTTTTTTTTCAGGGTTGGATTTGAAATCGCCACGACTGATCAAGATGGCGCTTATTTGTTATCATGTTGATCTCCCCTACTTTGGACCCTCAGATTGATTTCGATACACGTTTTGCATTCGTGAATAGTTTTCTCACGTCGCTTTACTCTTATTTGCAATTTGTCGATGGTCTTTCAGTAGCTTTATCCCCTTTTGTAGTTCTTTTACCGATGCAATCAGATTTGTTTGTATCTTTATTTTATTCGATTTTTTTGGTTAGGTTTTTTAACATTTTCCTTCTTTGGTCCTTATGTGATATAGATGGCTAGTTTTTGTCTCAATGGTAATTGGAAAATACCGTAATTATATTTTAAGTTTACGGTTATACTTGTAAATATTCATTGTAATTTTGGATATTTTCCATTTTTAATAAAACTAGCAACTTTCTATCAAAAAAAAAATTAATTAGGATTACATAGACTGCAAATTGCCCCATAAAATATTATTTCCACCGGGAAATGGAAGAGAATTATTGGAAAAATGATGTATTTAATTGACAGATTTAATATTTATATTAAATTCATATTCCTTTTGACTATTGTAAATTAAATATATTATTTAACTTGAATATTAGTAGAATAATTACTCTTTGAATATGTCAATTTAAAATGGTAAGGTAAGCAACTTGATATCACTTAAGCAAGCCTCGAGTTCGAGTCATTGTGTATGCAGAAAATCCTCGCTGGGAGACTCACCCACCAAAGTCAGGTGTGTGACCCGGGTCGGTCCGAATTAGTCAAGGCAAACCTTGGGAATCGGAAGGGCAACCAAAAAAAGAAGGTATTTGTTATCTTTTTAACTTTGAATATTAAAGATAATTATATACTTTTGAATATTTCAAATTAAAAGGTATTATTGTCTATTTAATGTTGATTATTAAAAGATATCTGGTTGTATTAAATCTCTCTTGAAAATCCCCTATAAATAGTGAGTTAACCCTGCTAAGTTAAACACAAGTTTACATCTCAGATTTGAAGAACTTTTCTTCTTTTGGCCAACTGAACTGAATTGACATAACTACCCATGCATATCAAGCATATAGGCCACATAACAATGACATCACTAACCCACTCCTCGCGAATGTTCAGGCCTTTCACCTTAGTTAGCTCCTAAAGTGCCTCACGTACTTGCAATGCCCCACTAGGGCAACTAAGGTAACTTGGGTATACCTTAACATAGAAAGACTTACTAAAGTGAAGTCAACGTCACATTAACTGCTATCTCGCTCTTTTTCTCAACTAGAACGTTATACGAATGCTTACTTATTAACTGTGAGACTGACTAGCCCGATCTTTGGCTCGAGTTCATTTCTGCGTAGTGGTACTCCATTCGATCTTATCGTACTTTCCTTCAGAACCTCTTGAATAGAAAAGGGAAGCTTACTTTTCCTGGGTTCATCGACATACTTGAAGCTCATGTTTTTCGCTATCATTGAATCTGACATAAACATTGTACCGCTTATCAGGTATCTCTTGTAACAACCCTCGGTCCCAACTATCCGTATACATCCTCGATTAAAGATACTTCAGCATATTACACTTAATATGGTTACACTTGATGTAACATGCTCTTACGAGTGTTTTTAGGTATGCTTGGTCATTTATGACCCTCACGAATTAAATCTTACTATTATAGATCGTCCTTAGCTCTTACAGACATTAAATAGGTCAAAATTGACCATCTGAAGTGAGTTGTATCGATACTCTACTTGTAGTATTGATACCTTAGGGTCAAGTATCGATACTCCTATGAATATCAGTAACAAAAATGCATTCAGTTACGAGATCAGTATCGATACTCTAGCCCAAAATCCCTAATTTTTCCCCCGATTCATCCAATATCGACACTCAAACCTTGAAATGGATATTTTAGGCTTGAAACACTCAAAATTCATCTTAAAGGACATAATTTGATTCTAAATCATGCACCAATGTTATGGGTAGTTATTTAGGGTCTTAAGGTGTCATAAAATACTTACTAAACAATAAATTTGTGATTTATAGCATGAATCAAAAGTGAAACCCTAAATACTCAACTACACAAATCTTAGCAATTTCTTGTGATTTATGAAAACTTAATACTCCAAAGGATTAGAAATACATTACCTTAGTTTCAGAAACTCGAAATGAACCTCCTTTAGCTACCAATCTCTCTCGTCAAGGATTATATGATGAAAACTCCTCTTTCCTTGCAAAATAAAACCCAAAGCTAGAATCTTCAAAAATGAGGTTCCTGGGCAATTTAATAAGACGAAAATGAAGTATAAAAGAGCTCAAGATCTTACCTTGCTATGGAACTTGGATAGGGAAGGAATAAAGAAGAAAAATGAAGAAGATGGAGAGGAAATGGGAGAACCCACATCTAAAACGAAATAAAACCCCAAATTTTAGCTTCAAATTCCAACAATGGTTTAATTGCTCTTTTGGTTGCTCCCATTTGGAGTCCTATTTAAAAATCCCCCTTTTGTGACTAATTGGGCCCTAATCCAGACCTAATTAAGACCAATAACTTAAACCATGAAATTTATGGGGTCCACTTACATCTCAAGTAAACCCAAAACTACTAGCCCGAAATTTGAGGTGTTACAATCTTGCTAAGAATCAAATTCGATCTCAATTTCCCTTAGCAGACCGCCACTAAGTGTGTTTAGAAGAAGCCGAATGTGCTATAAGCCGATCCTTCCTCCCAACTATTAGTCGAAACAACTAAAAAACCAACGAGTTCTTTTTGTTTGAAAGCGTTTTAATTATAAAAGGACAGTCGATTACTGATCCTTGATTCTAGAAAACTAAAAATGTAACCATAAGGGTATTGAGTGTTTTTCAATTCTCACAATTAGAATTGAGTCATCGCTTTAGCCTTTGGCTATGAAAAACTTAGCTAAGCATGATAGAAATCATGCTTAGTATTTTTAAATAAAGAAAGCTTTTAAAATAAATAAAGAATGAAAGAAAAAGAAAAAAATTTATAAACTAAAGTAAACAAGAACAAGTAAAAACCTGAAGGTGAAATATATGTTTGAAGCTTACCCCTAAGGTGTATTTATAGCTTCTTAAAACCCTAAAATGCTCAAGATAATTCCTAAAAATTACAAAAGATAATTCTCTTAATTGTTTGAATAAAATCTCAAAAATAAAGATAATTCCTAAATTCAAGTCTAAATTTGCGGCTGGGTCTTTTGATTCCACAAAAATGCTGACTGGACCTTCTAGAAGGTGTTAACTAGACACCATGTTAGTGGAGTCATGCCCATTGGTCCAACCTTGACTCTAGAAAAATAAAACCTTAAAAAATTCACCCTTTTTAGAATAGTTAATTTCTGAAATTCAATGTCCTGCATAGAAAATAACAAAAAATGTCCAACTTAGCAACATAAACCGACGAACAAGGAGTAATTAAAAATAAAATAATAACAAAATTAAACACTCATAAGTAGGAGTGGGAATTTTTCAAAGATAGTGAAACTTGGGAATTAATGGAGAAAGATAATACACCCTTTCTGTTATGTAACTAAGCTATGATCAATTGTCTCCTCAGTTGAAGCAATGTTTTGCTTATTGCTCAATCTTCCCAAAGGATTTAAATTTCTCTTAACTTGATCTAATCACATTTTGGTTGGCTAATGGTCTTCTTGAATCCACCAAAACAAATTAGAATTCCTATGATATCGATAGACGTTATCTGAATGACCTGTTGTCCCGATCTCTTTTCCAAGATTATGATGACCAGTATCGATACCCCTATGAGTATCGATACCAAAAATACATTCTGTTGTGAAATTGTGGCCCCAGTATCGATACTCAAACCTTGGAATGGATATTTTAGGCTTGAAAAACAATTAAAATTCATCAAAATGCAATAGTTGATTCTAAATCATGCACCAATGTTATGGGTAGTTATTTAGGGTCTTAAGGTGTCATAAAACAGTTACTAAACAACAAATTTGTGATTTATAGAATGAATCAAAGGTGAAACCCTAAGTACTCAACTACACAAATCTTTTCAATTTCTTGTGATTTATGAAAACTTAATACTCCAAAAGATTATAAACACACTATGTTCATTTAGAAACCCGAAATGAACCTCCTTTAGCTAGCAATCATTTTCCTTAAAGCTTGGATGATGAAAACTCATATTTTCTTGCAAAATAAAACCCAAAGCTTGAATCTTCAAAAATGGGGTTGCTGAGGGGTTTAATAGGACGAAAATGAAGTATAAAAGAGCTCAAGATCTTACCTTGCTATGGAACTTGGAGAGGGAAGAAAAGAGAAGAGAAATAAAGAAGATGGAGAGGAAATGGGAGAACCCATGTCCAAAATGAAATAAAAACCCAAATTTTAGCTTTAAATTCCAATAATGGTCCAATTCCTCTTTTGCTCCCTCCATTTGGACTTCTTTTTAAAAATACCCCTTTGTGGCTAATTGGGCCCTAATCAAAACTCAATTAAGCCTAAAAACTTAAACCATGAAATCTACAGGGTCCACTTACCTCTCAGGTAAACCCAAAACTACTAGACCAGAATTTGAGGTGTTACAGTCTCACTGAGAATCAAATCTGATCTTAGTTTCGCTTAGCGGACCACCTTTAAGTTTGTTCACAGGAAGTCAAATGTGCTACAAGACGATCCTTCCTCCCTACTATTAACCGAAACAACTAACAAACCAATGGGCTCTTTTTATTTGAAAGTGTTTTGAATATAAAAGGATAGTCGATTACCGATCCTTAATTCTAGAAAATTGAAAATGTTCACAATTAGAATTGAGTCATCGCTTTAGCCTTTGGCTATGAAAAACTTAGCTAAGCATGATAGAAATCATGCTTAGCATTTTTAAAATAAATAAAGCTTTTAAAATAAATAAAGAACAAACGTAAAAGAAAGAAATTTTATAAACTAAAGTAAACAAGAATAAGTAAAAACCCGAATGTGAAAGATATGTTTGAAACTTACCCCAAGGGGTATTTATAGCTTCCTAAAATCCTAAAAATGCTCAAGATAATTCCTAAAAATCACAATAGTTAATTCCTTTAATTGTTTGAATAAAATCCCAAAAATAAAGATAATTCCTAAATTCAAGTATGAATTTGCGGCTAGGTCTTTTGATTCCATGAAAATGCTGACTGGACTTTCTAAAAGGTGTTGACTAGACTCCACGTCAGCAGAGTCATGCCCCAAATCATGTCAACTTGTCCAACCTTGACTCCAGAAAAATAAAAACTACAAAATTTGTCATTTTTAGAATAGTTTTTGGAATCCAATGTCTTGCATAGAAAATAAAAGAAAATGTCCGACTTAACAACGTAAATCGACGAACAAGGAGTAATTAACAATAAAATAATAACGAAATTTGGGAATTAATGGAGAAAGATAATGACACCCTTTCTGTTCTGTAACTAAGCTATGATCAACTATCTCCTTAGCTGAAGCAATGTTTTGCTTATTGCTCAATCTTCCCGAAGGATTTAGATTTCTCTGAACTTGAGCTAATCACATTTTGGTTGGCTCATGGTCTTCTTGAATCCATCAAAACAAATGAGAATCCCTATGATATCGGCAGACGTTATCTGAATGACCTGCTGTCCCGATCTCTTTTCCAAGATTATGATCACCTCTTGTTTTTAGGTATATTCAACATGCATGATCTTGAATCATCTGTTACAAATAATGAATGTTGTATAGTACACTCTTTGGAGCAAAATATTTTCCCGGTTACACGTATGGCTTGTTAACCATGATTCTTCTGTTGAAAATGCTTCCCATTTCCTTGATAAATTCGGGCATGTGCGTTCACTTAGGTCTCTAAATATGGGAAATGGTCCTACAGACAAATCCTTTATCAAAACATATCTCTAGATTTTCCAACGGTTGCAGATGCTCGATCTTTCGAGGTCTACATTCGAGGTATTGTCGAAATGGATCGGTAATTTGAAGCATTTAAGGTATCTCGACCTTTATTACTGCCCCAACATCAAGAAACTTCCCAACTCCATTTGTAAGTTGCAAAATTTGCAAACTCCGTTTTTCCATGGTTGTGAACAAATTGAAGAGTTGCCTAAGGATATGAGGTACATGATCAGTCTGAGCAGTCTGAGACTTTTATCATTAACTACGAAGAAACGAAATCTTCGGGGTCATGGATTAGAACACTTGAAATCTCTTCAGAATTCAAAAACTCACATCCCTTCATACACTGTGTATTCTTTGTTGCAGAAACTTGGTATCACTGCACACGGTTTGGAATATCTAACTGCAATACATGAACTCAAAGAGGGTCATTGTGATGGTGGTTTCATCCTGCAATCCTTGTCCGTCGGACATTTATGAAATTTGGTGGCTCTATCCCAATGGCTTCTACGGGGATGCACCAACACCTTGAAGAATCTGGCCATTGTAGACTGTGAGAACTTAAAAAGTTCACCAGAGTGGCACAATCTCACATCACTTGAAAACATCGAATACGTTGATTGCCCGGAATTATCTAGCCTGCCAAAAATCATGCAACACCTTAAACAATTGAGGATTGAAGACTGTCCTCTATTAGCTGAAAGATGCAAACAGAAAACAGGTGTGGATTGGCCCAAGATTGCTCATGCCTCTCTTATTGTTTTGGATGGCAATACAATTTCAACTGAAGATAACTAATCAACCTCTTCTTTGGGAACTATAAATGTTAATTTTTCATATTTGGGAACTCTGGAACTTTCCTATAACACATTTAGTAACTCCATTTTCAGCTGGATTTCTACTCTTACTGTTCTGATGGTCTAAGAAACATGACCTTTCTTACCTATCTCAGCTTAGCAAGCAAACGATTCAATTCACCGTTGCCCGGTCGGTTGTATGGTTTGAACCATCTTCAGCACCTCAATCTCGAGTCCAATAACTTGCGAGCTACAATCTCAGAGGGTGTCGGAAACTTGACACAAGCCGTAAGCCTCATCTTAGCCAACAAAAATCTAGAAGGAGCAGCATTAAGATCCTTGGGAAACCTTTGCAGCATGACAAATCTTGTTCTATCATGGTGTCAAACTGAGTCTAGACATATCACAAGTCGTAGAATCTCAGTCAGGATGACTGTGATAGACTCGAGTTCTTGTTTCTGGTTAACTGTGATCTTTCCGGTCACATGAGCAATCACCTTGATCTTATTGAAAACCTGAGTTAGTTGATGTTGTATACAGGGATTTAAATAGCGTTCACGGCCACGTTTTCGGTCGCGTCGCGTTTATCGCGGTTGTGGACATAACGGATGTCATAGCGGTCACTGCGGGTGCCGCGGTCGTGAATTATTCTAAATTTCACACAACTTATCATAAAACATAATAATTATAATTATAAGAAGTCATTTTTAATGATTTTTACAAAATTTTCTAAGCTAAAAGGACATATATAATATAGTTTAACCATATAAAAAACTTTAAAATTCCGGTAATATGATAAGATAATTAATTCATGATAACATTGTGAACACATTATTATTTAAATTGCTGAAATTAGGATTAAATTAAACAAAAATTAAAGTTTACATTCTAAACTATATATTAAATTATAAATTTTAAAAAGTGAAAGGATGAAAAACTAATATATTCCTTAAAGATATATTTTATAATTTTCTTTAAAAAAATGGGCCCAAAATGTTTTGTTTTAAACCTAATAACCCTAAAATATTTTAATCCTAAACTATATCCCTCCCCCAGTCTCATTTCTTCCTGTTTTCTTCTCTCAACACTCAATATCAAAAACAAGAAAAAAAAAACTCTAAAACCATAACATGTTCTAGCCTAAATCCAGAGCGTAAATGATTTTTTCTTTTTCTTCAACAATCTTAAGCTCCGACGAAGATTCTTTTCTCTGATTACAGTGAACTCCACTCCGGCGCGACCCACAAAACAGGTTTGTTCTTCCTTTTTACTTTTCCATTTTCTTTTTCCTTTTGAATCTCAACATGCATGTATAAAAAACGTGAATTTGGAAAGAAAGAAAAAAAATACAGCTTTGGTGACGACGAACACAAAATATCTTTCCTTAAGTTTTATTTTTTGCATTAATGGTTGGAATAACGGTGATTGCGTACCGTTATCGGCGTAATCGTCCGTTTTCTATTAAATTACGGGCGTAATCGACCGTAATCGGTGTGAATCTGTGACCCACCGCAAAAACCATGAATAACGGTTTCGGACGGTGGCACGACCACAATATTACGACCGCTATAGCGTTTTCAGAACGCTATTTGATACCCTGGTTGTATACACGCACCATTCCAACTTTAAAATGTTAAATAAGTCGAACAATTCCGTCTGCGCGGTTTCAATTTCCATGCAACGAGTTGAAAACCTTAAAAAAGTGGATTCCTCCACTTTCAATGACAATATTTGAAAACCATTGTAAAGGTGGTAAAGAGATTCAAAATTGAAAGAACTACGAAATTTGTGCCAAAATATATTAAAATGAAATTAATTCAAAATATTTTATTATTTTCAATGCATAAACAATGATAGTTAAGGTTTTATTAGATTATACAAAGGTTGAAATTTTACCGTTAGAATTTATATTATATTTCTTAATTATTATTTAAAAAAATTCCTTAAAATTGTATCTTAGTCATCATTTTACATATATTTAAAAATTATCATATTTTAAATAATATCTTAATAAATTATGTTTAAATAAAAAATTAAAATTTAGAAAAATCGTACATAGGGGTATAAACGAGCCGAATCGAGCTCGAGTATTGCTGAGCTCGACTCGACTCGAAAACTCTGAAATTGAGCTCGACTCGAAAACTCGCGAGCTTAAAATTTTCAAGCTCGACTCGAACTCGAAATCCTGAACTGAAGCTCGTGAGCAGCTTGAAAAGGCTCGAAATGAAGAAAAAAATTTCTTAAACTTAACTTGATTGAAGCCTCAAACTCGAACTCGAACCTTAAATACATGAAAATCTTAATGTATTCTCTTTAAAAAATCAATACATAAATATTAATATTTTTAATAATTTTTTTTTTAAAAAATATAATCTTATATATTATATTTTCGAGCTGCTCACGAGTTTTTCGAGTCGAGTATCAAGTAACTCGTTTCGACTTGTTAAGAATTCGAGTCGAGCTCGAGCTCGAGTCAAGTCCATTCGATCCGAGTATTTATCGAGCCTTGATCGAGTCGATCTCGAGTAGTTCACGATCTGTCTCGTCTCATTTACAGCCCTAATCGTACACAACTTATTTTAACTACCATTTAAAAATCATTATCTACGAATTATTCAAATAACTAAACAAATTTTAAATTTCGTAAAATTATCCCAAAAGATCTTTCGCTACATAATAATCATTAAAAATAGATATTTAAACTTAATTGTTAAAACACAAAAATAATGTAATTATACTTAAACTATGAACTGATATTTATTTAAAATGTTATACATAAAATTATATAGGTAGTGAAATGATAAATTTAATTGAAAATTTCAAAATAAAGGAGTGATAATCAAATTGATATCTTAAACCTAACTTAAATTTTAAAAAAAATAAAAAGAAGTACGAAATTTGTGCCAAAATATATTAAAATGGAATTAATTCAAAATATTTTATTATTTTCAATGCATAAACAATGATAGTTAAGGTTTTATTAAATTATACAAAGGTTGAAATTATACCGTAAGAATTTATATTATCTTTCTTAATTATTATTTAAAAAATCTTCTTAAAATTATATCTTAGTAATTTTTTTAAATATATTTAAAAATTATCATATTTTAAATAATATCTTAATAAATTATATTTAAATAAAAATTTAAAATTTAGTAAAATCGCACACAACTTATTTTAACTATCATTTAAAAAACATTATCTAAAAATTATTCAAATAACTAAACAAATTTGAAACTTCGTAAAATTATCCTATAAGATATTTCGCTACATAATTATCATTAAAAATAGATATTTAAACTTAATTGTTAAAACAAAAAATAAATAATTATACTTAAACTAGGAACTGATATTTATTTAAAAATGTTATACATAAAATTATATAGGTAGTGAAATGATAAATTTAATTGAAAATTTCAAAAAATGAGTAAAAATCAAATTGTTATCTTAAACCTAACTTATAACAGTCAATTTAAAAAATATAAAAAATAACATTTTAGATAGAGTATACATCTTGTACTTTCGGTATATAAATGTGAAGTTACGTATACAAAATTAAATTAAAATAGCATAGAAGGGATTGTGAGAAGTGAAAAGAAAAAGATGGAGGGAGGTTTAATTATTAAGTTGTTAGCTTTGATGTTGTTTACATCCATATTACATCTAGGGGATGCACAATCAAATTGCGATGCTGGTGCCGTTGGTGCTTATTGTTATAATTATTGTTCATCACCTTGTCACTCTTCTTACCAAATAATCAAACAAAATTCAATGTGTATTACGTATTGTTTTTGTGTTTGTCCGTCATCGCCTCCGCCATCCGACATTAACCCATGGCAGTCGCCACCGCCATCGCCGTTGTCACTATCATCACCATCGTCACCGTTGTCGTCACCACCGTTATCGCCTTCGCCACCAGTGTCGTCACCGCTGCCACCACCGCCGTCGCCGTTGTCACCATTGTCACCATCATCACCGTTGTCGTCATCACCACCATCGTCACCGCCGTTATCGCCTTTTCCACTAGTGTCGTCGCCACCGCCACCAGTGATTAAACCAAACCCACAGCCTCAAAATCCGTCAACAATGGTTAAACCAAATCCGTCCATAGCACCATCACCATCGGTGACTAAACCAAACCCACAACCGCAAAATCCACCAACAATGGTTAAACCAAATCCATCCATTGAAGCACCACCACCAACAATTGTGGTTAGTCCAATTCCGTCGACTCCTTTGAGCATTTGCGAAGTACCGAAATATTACCCCTATATTGTGAGAAGAGATAAGCGGTGTTGGTGTTCGATGGAGAGTTATCACAGCGGGTGTTTTGAACAGATTTGGAGTGCAACACCAAAATATAATGATTCCATACAGATTGATAAATATTGTTGTGATGCTTTTCGGGCGGTGGATGAAATTTGTAGTATAATCTTTGCACCAAATAGATATTTTATTCACCGACACTGCTCGCGATTTTATTAGGATTAGAAGTAATTATTATTAGGATTTCGAGGTTGTTTTATGTATCAGATCCTTTGTCTTTTTAGGTATCATTTGTTTTTTTTAGTTAATTTTAATAAAATTTCAGTTCTAAAGATATGAAATACTTGATGTGCCGTTGTTTTTTTTTTTTTAGGTATTCAACTTTGCTTCAATCGTTGCTCATGCATTCGTCGAACCATGATATAATAAATAAATTAAAACTAGAAAGAGTCTTTCCATGCTGCACCTCTAATGCAGGATACTTGAATATAAATAAGCTTCAAGATGAACAAGACAAATTCACCAACTCTTCTTTTACTTCATTTTGCATGATCATGGACGATTCCAGGAAAGTTGGAACTTTTGTTTTCTAGTTTTGAAATCTAAAGAAATCTGATTCCAAGAAACTCTTCTTTGAATATAAAGAAAGTTGGAACTGTTGTGACTGAAATGGACTTGTACGTGACAATGTAACCGCGCGTGTCGTTGAGCTTCGTCTCGGAAATCTCCACCATTCGAACGATGATACGGCCGCCCTAGGCAAGCCTTTCGAACAATCTCGATTTAATGGTGAGTTGGTTTCTTTGCTTGATTTGAAACATTTGCAGTACCTGGATCTGAGTGGCAACAATTTTGGAGGACAAATTCCAGGATTCCTAGGTTCTTTGCACAACCTCTCTAATTCTGGATTTGAGGGATCAATCCCGCCTCAATTTGGAAACCTTACAAGCCTGCAGTATCTTGATCTCCATGATATTTTATCTGTCTATCTCTATGCAGAGAGTCTTCAATGACTTACCAATCTTACAAAGCTGAAATTCCTTTCTTTGAGTGGCATAACTCTCAGCAAAGCCTCCGATTGGTTCGAAGTGACGAATGCTCTCCCTTCTTTAATTGTCATAAGTCTATCCAATTGATAATTTTTCATCTCTAGGAACCCTGGATCTTTCCTACAACACGTTTAGTAACTCTATTTTTAGCTGGATTTTTACCCTTACTTCCCAGGTTTCACTTGATCTTAGTTATAACAGTTTCCAGGGTTATCTCCCTGATGGTCTAAGAAACATGACCTCTCTTACATATCTCGGTTTTTCGAGGAACCGATTCAATTCATCGATACCCGACTGGTTGTACAGTTTGAACCGATTCAATTCATTTGCAGACTGGGTGAAATCAAATATGCACCCTGTACATTTAGAGAGAAAAGGCAAAATAGTTTATCAATGTCCTTTCTCATGTTTTCTAATGTTATGCAGGTGTGTCTTCGTTGTCAATGATTGAAAAACATTATAATCATATATTATCTTATAATTATTAAATTATTTGAAAAAAGAAATTCCTCTAAAATTACATTGTACTTGTTTTATTGTTGTTATTTAGGGTCTGTAACTAGCATTATCAATAATGTTTTTTTCTTAGGTTCAAAGATAAGTTCTATTCCTAAAAATATAATATGCACAACGAATACACTACAAGAAAATGTATAATTGCTGATGGAATTTTTTAGGGAATTTATGATGAAATTTGATATTAATAACGGAATTTTTTAGAGAAGAGAGTGATTAGTAAAACGTTGGTTAAAACTAAAATTTCCGACAAAATAAATTAATCTGTCAGAAATGTACTGACGAAAATCCATCAGTAAATTTACTGACGAAACATTTAAAATCCGTCAAAAAATTATATACTTAAAATATTATATTTTAGGTTTCTGAAGGCATGAATCTTTTCAGTCGAGATATTAAAAAACATAAAAAATTGATTTTTTAACTTCCGATGGACTACGTCTCTTCCGTCTGAAAAATTAAATCTTTTTTTAAAAAAAGGAGGGAAAAATTCTCGGGAATCTATCCGAAATTTTTTCATTCCCTCCAAAAATACTATAAATCTATTTTTGTTTAATTAATTAATGTACCAAAAATTAATAATTAATATAATTCAAATAATTTCATTAATTTAAAAAAATGGATAATAATAATACTTCTAACAAGTGCAAATTTTATATAGATAATCACTTAATAAGAAAACAATAGTATATTGTAAAAAATTAAATTCACCATATTAGCTATGACTAAATATGAGTTTACTATAATATAAATATTTGATTGTACACTATACATAAAAAATAATACAACGTTCAATAATAAAAAGAGTAAATTATTAAATTTGCATATTAAAGAATTGTTATCATTTCAAAATTTCAAAGCAATAAATAAAATATAATGAAATATGTTTGTGATTAACTAAAAATAATATAAAAAAGTAAATATTAAAACAATACACTGAACAAAAATTAAATCTTACATTAATATTGATAAATGATAATAAAAAAAAGATGAAATTAAGAGATGAACTTTTCATGAAACCAAAGAGGTAATAAAAAGAGAAGAAAGAAATGAGAGATAAATGAGTTTAGAAAGGTTTAAAAAAGAAAAAAAAAATAGGGTACAAAATAGGTATGTTTGAAATTTTATGTTTCAATGGAGAGAAATTGAAGGTAATGGGCGGGTAAGTAAAAATATCTAAATTTTGTGACGGAACATGTGAATCCGTCACAAATTTTATGTTTCAATTGAGGAAATTGGAGAAAATGAGCAGGTAAATAAAAAAACTTTAAATTTTGTGACGGAACATATGGACCTGCCACAAATTTGTGACATGTCCATATATTTCGTCACAAATTTGAGATGGGTTCATATATTCTGTCACAAAATTAAAATACTTATAAAATTATCATATAAAATAAAAATAGAATAATAATCCTTTTGTTTCTTTTGTAATCTATTCGGGTAGTTATATTATGCATAATTTTAAAGAAAAGTAAAAATATAATTTTAATTTTAATTTTAATTTTTTTAAATAAACAAGGTAGCCGTCTCTAAGAATATCCCTCTAAATCCTAAGGGAGAAAAAGTGTACTAACCTTGTTGTTTTTTCATTGATAAGCAACTAAAAGTATTGAAACATAACAGTTCAACAAAACAAAAGATAATATTCAGAAACTTAAAGTAAAATCCAAAATCTAAAAGAAAATACCATTTGATATTCAAGACACATTTTCTCCATTGCATTGTTTTGGTTATAGAGTAATCAGATAATAAGCTTCTTCTTGATTGTTGGATGGCTGGACAAAAGGTGTCAAAGGTGTGCTAGCTCTCGATGGATATGTCGTTTGTGGGTGCAAAGGCCTCGATATTATAGCTGAGCCTGTGAAAATTGAATGCAAAGGAGGTTGCATGCCACCAAATCCTGGATAAAGTGTAGGATGATCCATCAGAGGGTAGAAAACTAAAAATAAATTTTTAGTTGAAAATGAATTCACAAGTAATAATTATAATTATATATAATATTTAATTGAAAGAATGTTTTAAGACCCGATTGTCCATTATAGTTTGTTTCGAGAAGTAACAAGTCTATCGCACAACATCTACATCGAATCAATCGATGGTTGATCATCTTCTGCCATATATGCATTTAATTTAAGACCACATATTGTTACCAAATGGATCATATGCATACTCCAGAATTGGAGTACTAGCTAAGCATGTGAAAGTTGGACACATAGGAGGTTGCATATTCCACAAAATAATAACATATTTACATAATAAAAAATTAATTTCAAGTACATCCTTTATGTCATTAACCCAAGTTTAAACTTTAACCTAACAAAGTTGTCATAAATTAACAATTAAGAGACCAAAGAAAAATAGGGGTAAAGCTCACCATAATACAACGAAGTTCAAAATGCAATATCAATGAGGAAAGATTTCACACCACCAACATGGACACATACTCTTAAAATTAATAAAAATATATCGACAAAACGAACGCATTATCGAGTATGTTATATATAAGTCATGAAAGTAAATAGTTAAACCATTTACGTAAATAGTAGTTTTCAATCTAGAATTACAATATAATTGTATTAGTATTTTTTTTCTCAGCAAAATGGATTTTATTAATAAAATGAGACCTAAGTTAGGGGTCTCATTAAAAATCTCTCTAACCTTAATCTATATGGAGGAAAAGAGTACCCCTAACTAGGAAAAGATCATTAACTTCTCAAAACAAAAATAAGTCAACGAACACGAATACTATACTAAACATTCAAACGAACACAAATCGAATATAAAGATCTTTAAACACAAACAAATATACATGAATACAACTTTATTCATTCAAGTTCAATTCATTTACACACCCTGATAACTTGGTAACTTCCCAAGATAAAATCCATATACAAATTGGTAAATATATAGGTTACAACTTCAAAAATAAATAAACAAATTCGGATATTATACTAAAATTTTAAATAAACACAAACTGAATCTAAAAACAAACAAACGAACATGAATACAACTTTATTCATCTAAGCTCAATTCATTTACACACCCTAATAACTTGGTTAACTTCCGTGACAAACTTCGTATACACACTGTTAACACACAGGGACAACTTGTTAATCAAAATTATAAAGAAAACTGCAGTGGGCTCCTCCAACGGAAACTGCCGAAGCAAAGGTCTATTATACATCACTCTCATTTGTCAATGCAAAAGAATTCGACCATAAAATAATTTCACCTTTTAGCCTGATTTTGCATCCCTATATAAATATTTCTACCATCTCTCTCTTGTGGATTTCTTTGTAGTCTTTTATCTCCCACTTTTAGCAGCTTGTTGTGAAAGAGCATACAATGGTCTCGAAGGGTGTTTTAATAGGCTATCTTCTGTTGATGTTTCTGAGTATTTCGGCTCTCAA